ATTTGAATATAAGTACCTTTGAAGGACTGGTGAAACTTCATCATCTGGATCTATCAGCGAACGCTCTTGAGTTAATCAACTCTTCAATGTTTTTTGACAATATTGAACTTAAATCGCTCAATCTCTCTTATAATAACCTGTATCGATTTCCAAATGTGACGTCGGCTTTGACGTCTTTAGATTTATCTTTCAATTTCATAGAAACTTTGGAAAGGAATTCTTTGAACCGTATGTCCAAAATAAAAAGTTTAAACCTAAGTGATAATTGGCTACAACGTTTACCCAATGGATTACAATCCTCGACTTTGACAATGCTAAATATACGAAGAAATAGACTCATGGAATTAAATAACAGTAGTTTCGTAGAATTACCTGCACTTGAAAGAATCGACGTTTCAGGTAAGTCTATAGAATGATGCAGAGAATTACTCCGAATTATTTAGATTATTTCTACTTATAATAATTATCCAATTATAATGACGCTAGGTAATCGTCTAACTGAAGCGATCGATCCAAGTATTTTTCAAAACAATATCAAATTAAAAACCATTCTACTTGAGGATAATCCATGGCGTTGCGATTGCATGCAATTATACTTAACTTTTCAATATTTGACCAATCCACCTGCAAAAACGTTGTCTTACTCTCTGATCTGTCAGAGTCCAGCAAACGTCTCCGATTACTCTTGGGAGAGTGCCTGCTATAATGTTTGGAACGGACAGCTTGTCTACAGTAATAACAAAATGTGGGGTTTTTTTTTGATATGCGTGTTCGTCCTGATTGTTTTAGTGGGTACAGTCACGTCCATCAAACATTCGATCAAAATGAAGAGACGAGCTATCGTAGAAAGACGTCGTATCGATAGAATGCAGGGCATTGAAAGACTAAGGCTCTTACAACTTAGGTAACTTTCTTCTTTCCTTCCTACTTTAAATCGCGATACTGTTTTACCTACTGAGTTATTTATCCTTTCTTATCGACAGTTGATCATAATTTCCTACTTTAACTACAATTAGTAATATAGAAAACTGTCTTACCTTAGGAGTAAAACTCAAATTAATATTAATTCCTTTTAAAAATGAATTTGTCGAATGATTTTGATCGATGACGATTCAATTGACAGGAATCAAGAGAGACAGGAAACTTCGGAGCAACCACCTGAGCCAAGAATTCATCCTTTAGAATTGATCGGACCTCCAAGTTATGAGGAGGCTGTACAGATGCCAAGACTGACGCACTCATTGGATACATTAAACGAAATTTCTGTAGAGAATATTAGCTTGACTAGATTGGGCTCTGTCGATAATCTACAAAACAAGAGAAAAAGATCGAGAAGATCGAGAAAGAGAATCCAAAGCGAAGACAATTTATTGAGAAGAGAAGAGCGTAGAGTTGAAAGACTAAGAAGAGAAAGAAGTAACTCAGCTGGTAACGTTTCTGAAAACGAACAAGGACTACGAATGACGAATTCCACAAGGTCTAGGTCTTCGTCCACTCGTCGACAAAGAAGGACAAATGCTATAGAAGAACTCGATGAGTCTGGTGGTAGTAGTAAAAGTCGGCCGAGACCGCAAACACCAAGTACTAAAAAGAAAAAACGTAGAACAACGATTAGAGACGGACATTCGACGGACGATGAGGATTCCGACATCCAACAAATCGCTAAGAACAGGTCGATCGTCATTAGAGATCTACGGAGGGAGCCAAGAAGTGGATATAGGGAGGCTCAAACTGAATGCGAATCTTAAGACTCAACGAAGTTAAATGTCTATGATGTTGTAATACTTTGTATATTATTTTTATTAAAAACCCTTGAAATTCTCGACTCTGTATTTTCCTTGTTATAGATAAGAAAAAAAGAGATTGCTATGGTTGAAAAAAAAAATTCAATATGATTTCTGGGCTCTGATTTAAAGTAAACCCACAGTTTAAATTCTGAGATTATAGTAGATACGAATCTCGTAGTGATACTTTAAAACTCACATAGCATACCTTAGCATAACATCGAATTACTAGGTTAGCCGTAACGAATAGGTGTACTCGCGGAATCATAGCAATTTGTTAGTAACCTTCCGAGCTGTGTAAAATACTGCACTTCTACGATATGCGCAACTATTAATTTCAAATATAATTATATATCAAGATATTGAAGAGAGAAAGACGAGATAGTAATCAGAATGGCATTCATATAATATCCAAGATGAGATGTAAATTATTAATTTCTTCCACGTTATGATAATATTTCATAGATTAAATTCGTTATTCTTAACAAGATAATTCGATTTACAAATTATATGTTACTTTGATATTATGTAAAACATTTATTATAAATTTTCAATTTTCACTAATCATTCTTCTCTTTTTCTTTTCATCTTATTTTATTTTATTTTTATTTTATTTTTTTTTTTTTTTATTTTCTTCATTTCCTTTTTATTATAGTCGGCTTATGCTAATCACAAATTAACTAATATTTTCTTTCATATTTATACTATAATTACATCTTATCGTTTTTATATACAAAAAAAAACGTATTCTAACATTCGAAGTTATATATATATATGTGTGTGTGTGTGTGTCTGTGTATGTGTGTGTAAATGTATTTTTCTCAATGTAAACGAGACAGAACCTTTCGTTTCGATTTATTAAACACATAAAATATAAATAAAATCTTCACATGTATTTATTGGGTCATATACTTTCATATTACTTATCGTCCGAAAGAGTCTAAAAAAGCAAATTATTCCGATGCAATTAACGTGAAGGGATTATAAATCGTTCATATACATTCTTAAATTATTCATCGTTCTTTGTACGACGTTGTTCACAAAAGTAGGCACCGTATTTCTAAAGAATGATTACCTATAAATTTTATATTTACGCAACCATAATACGTTCATAAAATGTATAATGCATAATAATACATAATACATAATAATTATAATTATAATTATAATAATAATAATAATAATAATGATAATAATAATAATAATAATAATAATAATAATAATAATAATAATAATAATAATAATAATAATCAGCTTATTTGGCTCACATACGTAAATACAAACGATCTTTGATTGATATTATGAAATACTAATGACAAAAACTTACTTATAAACTTCACGTATAGGTAATTAATTCTGACGAACATTCGCAATTCTTAATATTTAATTGAATTAAACTAATCATTAAAATTCGCATAAAGCTCGTACCTTATAAACTCTATCGTAGATCTTTTCTATTAAATTACCTTGTAATATCGACGAATAAATAATTGTAATAGTCGACAGATAGGGGAAAGCGCGTATTGTCCATTAGCAAATAAATTTATACGTAATATTTTCTCTCTCTCTCTCTCTCTCTCTCTCTTTCTCTCTCTCTCTTTTTCTCTCTCTCTTTCTCTCTTTCTCTCTTTTTTCTCTCTCACTATATTATATATATATATTTATATATATATATAATTATAAATGGTATAAACAATAGAAGCGTGTTATAATGATTTCGATTACGATAGATATGACGCTGTCGGATAATACATACGTTTATCTAACACATCGTATACTTTAAATGTAACGAATTAGTTGTTTAACGAATATCAGTTTTCATCTGAATCTCGAGTGACTGAGCTGAATCGATGGATATACGTAAATATTAAATAGATTATCATATACATCAATCGTATAGCTGTAGCTTTAATTACACAACTTGGTGAAATCTCGATGGACATCGTGATAATTAATCTGGCAATTGATTACGGACGCGCACTCCATGCGTATTCAAGTTTATAATCGATAATAGGCCTTAGTTTATTCGTTAAATTAATCTCAACACACTTAAGAAAAAGGAAAGAGGAAAAATAAAGAAGAATATAACGGTAAGTAAAAATAAAAGAGGAAGAAGAAGTAGAAGAAGAAGAAGAAGAAGAAGAAGAATAGAATTGAAAGGTTGTGTCTTATTGACAATTAAACTTTGACAGGTTAATTATGCATCAATCGACTAGCCATTACAGTTTTGTCCATTCGCACTGATAAGAAAATCAAGAAAATTACTAACTCTAATTTAAGTTCTAATATCTAGATCATCACGTATTTATATCAAATATCAAACGATTTGCCGTTCGTTCGATCGTTCAACGTCAAGAATTACGAATATCTTTCGAAGCGTACGATGTAAAAAAGAAAGAAAGAGAAAAAAAAAGAAAGAAAGAAAAGAAGAAGAAGAAGAAGAAGAAGAAGAATTAAAAAAAAAAAAAAGAATTATTATGGCAGGCTTGGAATGTACCCTCTTGACGAAAAATACGCAAGGTAAGAGCTAAAACAATGATTTCGTATGTGTCATCCCTAGTTCTAAATTCTCTCGCACTTCATCTCGAAAAGGATTTCTCAGGATACTTCGAATAGGATCTAAGATCTGTGAATGAGACTGACTGACTAGTGTACTAGTACAACTAGAACTTCTTCACAAATCTCGTATACGACAGATACGTCTGGTTTTTTCGTTTCTTTTTTCTTTTCGCTTTCTTTTTCTTTTCCTTTTCGTTCTTTTGTCTCTTCTTTTTTTGTTTTGTGTGTGTGTGTGTGTGTGTGTGTGCGTTTTTTTTTTCGTTGCAATTTATCCATATCTATGTCGAAGAAGAGAACGAACAAAAAGAAAATAAAAAAAAAAAAAAGAAAAGAAAAAGATATGTACAAGTCCTATTAGTTCGTGCTCACTCTTCGTGTCCTCGTCGTGTCGTAAAATTGAAAATAGTCCCGCTAGAACAAATATTCGAGTAATATATGTTCGGAACATCTTATAATACGTCAACAAATTTTCGATATCTCGTCGTATTTCAAAAATGGCCCTGACACGTAGGACCTAGGAACCAACCAATCGCATTGTCCGCATACACTTCCTTGAGTCACTTGACGTTTCTCAGTATTCATTCTTTTTTCCATTTCTTTACGTAATTAGTCTGATCCTTCGTTAAGTGACACGATTCAATAATCTGGAAGGTCGTTTCACGGTGTCTTGACTAGATTATCACCAACGGACGTTCGCGTTATGAGTATAGGCGTTTTCGGGACGCTATCTGGATTCTCTTGAAGAGTAATTTTTACTCTCTGAGCTCCAGGACTCAAGGGTGGACCATTTGTTTCTGAAAGACGCGGACTGGTCGTTCTTGCTGATTCAACGGGACTCGTCCTCGCTGAAAATGATTCATCTTTTGAGGATATCGAATCCTGCAAGGCCTCTTGAATAGGCTTCGTTTCTTCCAGTGTACCCAATACCTTTCTTGGAGGTTTCACGGGATCCGTATTATCTGTTTGATCCTGATGACCATTTTGACCTCTTATTCTCTCCTGAGACCCCATAGATTCTTTTGTGTCTTCGTGTTCGATCGTACTATCGACCAATGGCACATTTTCCGGATTACCGTTCGATGCTATTTTCGGTTGCACTTGATTACCCGTATCTAAAAGAGACTTCTGCATATCCTTCATCTCGGTACCGTTCTCAACGTCACCTCGTTTCCTTTTCTTCCTACAAAAGTCGCCCTTGTAAGCTGCGAATCCTATCAAAGCCGCAAGAATGATCAACAAAGCAGCCAAGACAACGTAAGAACCCATTCCCTTTTTAGATTGTCTAGCTGGTGACACCTCCGCTAATTCATCGTTTCTACTTGAAACTTCGGCTGGTCCGGCTGGTTCGGCACGGATCGTACCTAATTTCGACATGTCATCGGCTTCGTTAACTTCTACCAATTCTGGACCAATTGTTGAAGAAGAGGCAATTGGAATGGTCGCAGTTGTTGCTTTCGTTATCAACTTTGTAACGGGCACCTCTTCAGTTTCATGGAAAGTTTTCGCTGGTGATGCATCTATGAATTCTTCTTCTTCGAGACTAGGCTCTTCCTTCTTTTCGGTAGCAGCTGATCCGGTAAATACACCAAAGATCATATCGATAATGCTTTCGGTAGAAGTAGTTTTCGCCGGCGTATAAATCAATTTTTCATCGGTTTCCTCATCATTGTGAGACAGTATATCAAAACCAGAACCATCTAAACCAGAACCTTCATCTCCCGATCCTTCAATGGGATAAAATAAACTATCCTTTACTGGCTTTTTCAATGACATTTCAGTAGTAAACTTTTGTTTCTGTTCCTCGGAATCAAAGAACAACTCGTCGGATTCCTTCATAAATTTTTCAACAGACGATTCGGTTGATACTATTGGATATAAAGTTTCATTAATAATGGGACTAATTTCTGTTGTTACCATAGATGCAGTCGTTGATGGTTCCACGCTGGACAATTGTTTTATCTCTGGAACTGGGGTCTCGACCTCTTGAACTGGTGTTTCTTCGGAACTTTCCACAATGTCTTGAAACTCGTCATCGGCATCCATCTCATCAAAAACATCACCAGAACCCCCGTCTCCTGATCCTTGGTATGGCTGATCACCTAACATCTCTTTATCATCCTGCTCCTCTTTGCAAATCCTCTGTGTTTCCAATTTTAAAAGCGATGAACCTTTCCAACTATTCGGACCAACGCAAATGATCTTCTTCGACAACTTGACACCTCTCGATATCAATAAGTTTCTTGCGAGTAAAGTTGCGCAATTACATTGAAGCGGATTCCCATGAATATCCAAATGTTTCAGATTCTTCAAACGTAACAATACAACTGGGAATTGAGCGATATTATTCTTTCGAAGATTTAAACTACGTAATTCGTGTAATCCCTCTAACGATGACAAGTTCAGGTGTTCCAATCTATTGTTCGATAAGTCGAGACTCTTCAAGTTGGCCAACATTCGAAAAGTATCAGGTTTTATTCTTTTCAAATCGCCATCAGACAAATCCAAATGTTTGAGATTGGTCAAATTCTTAAAAATCTCCGGATCCAAGGTGCCGTCGATCTTTGTTACTTTCAACGATTCCAATTGAAAGGCATCGATGTATTTGACGTCTTCTAATTTTTGACATTGCGCCTCCGTTTCGTTCTCCAAGTAGCACAGACAATTCGTCAAGCTCGAACTATGTAGAATAACGAGGAGGAACGAGATGAAGCTCCCTACTGTCTTCATTTTTTTGTCTGATCTATCTGCAACGAAGAAGAAATCTTCGATTACGTTCGTTTTTGGAACAGTCTTTCAAAATTACATATCGATCGTTACATACAATCAAAAACAATTGCAATGCATATAATAAGATTTTAACGTTTATATGAGCTTATGAGAAAGATGATTGATTGAATATGTAATTAACTCATCGTCAAAAAGCGTAATCGTATATCATTGATAAGTTATATGAACATGATGATCTTTGTGATTCCTATCAGTGCCATGATTATCGTTGCCTGGGTGATTGTCAATATAGGTTTTGCGATAAGAGGTAATTCACTTTCATTATAACGGGACGAGAAAGTAATGCTAAGAAATTGTAGGAACGAATTATAAAGAAAGTAAAAAAAAAAAAAAAAAAAAAAAAAGGAACAGAAAAGAAAAGAAATCCAAATTTGATTCATGATCGATCTTGATATTCTATCAACGAATCTCCCTTTAATCGACGAAATATCTTTTTAAGCGATGCAAAGTATCATCATTATGTCTTATTACACCTCGTGTTAAACATTTTCGTGTAGTCATCGTCGCTGAACGAGAAGAAGAAAAAAAAAAAGAGAAAAAAAAAAGACTGCTTTTAGATTCGACTTGCCAGTTAAGTGCGAATCATCCTACCATACATTCCGTATATAAATGGAGCAATTTAAAAATGCAGAAGTAATATGGAAAAAAAAAAAAGGTGAGATGTAAACGGAAGCTGGAGTGAAAAAAAGAAGGAAGAAAGTATGAAAATAAAACAGAGAAAGAGAGAGAGAGAAAGAGAGAGAGAGAGAGAGAGAGAGAGAGAGAGAGAGAGAGTGAGTGAAATCGAGGAAGGAAGAGAAGATACAAAGTATTATTTGCATCTTTTTTACATACTGTTCTCGTCCGGTCAGTGACGTCATACCGGTGATTCCCATGCAACGCATTACGAGGATATTTCGAAAAAAGACATCGCTTCACGCACGAGGAAACACGATCGTTGAACTCTCCCGATCGATCGCGCGATCCTATCGATCGTGAAATTTCCAGCAACTTTGTACATAGGCGTATATGTATCGTAAAACAGTCATATTCAATTTGAACGTTATCGAAGTTTTAGAATTCTTTGCAAATGTTCATCATTATTCGAACGATATAATAGAAATTCATAATTACTTTAAGCAACGAATATTGCACAATGAATTATGGAAAAACCAAACGACCATGAAATTTATTATATTTTTTTTTTCTTTTTTTTTTTTTTTTTTTTTTTTTTTTTTTATAAAAAATATACATATTATATATTCAAGGACTAAAAACCAATGGAATATTTTTTTTTTTATATCGTGAGACTGTTTCAAGATCGTCGTAACTTTTCTTAAATTCTTGACTTCGAATCTAATAGAATAAATCGAAAAGCTCGCAAAAGAGATAATGAAATTCTCGTGCCTACGTGCAAGTAGGTAGATAAGACGGACATAGGCATACGTGATATCACGTGTCTACGAAAAGTATTACTTAATCTCGTCGAGCCGAGCGTGTCCGTTCGATTAACGAGCTTTTCTCACCGTCCTTCGTTTTACCCACGTTCGAAGGCCTCGATTGCGTGCTCGCGTGCGCATATACGTATGCAGTCGTAATACACGGGAACCGTATGTACCCGTACTGTCTATTTCTACGGTTAATTTGCAAACAGACGCGTTGTTTAATAGAACTTAAGTAGGTACGAGCTACGACGCAAAGCAGTCGTAGCATTTTGCGAGAACGTGTAGGCGTTGGCAGGTCATGGCCAATAGCTTTGAGATTTCAATGCACAGCTCTGATATACGTAGGAGCATCAACCGGGAAGGATTTACTAATATTAATAAAAAAAAAAATTGTCCACTGAGTAACATAATGAATAAGAGAAGAAAAAGAAAAAGAAAAAGAAAAAAAAAGGAAAAAAAAAAGATATATATATATATATATATATATATATATATATAGGAAAGAAGATCATTTTCATATATCGTTTCGACTACGACGACAACGACGACGACAACAATACAGGACGAAAATTTATAAGGGGGCGGGGGGGAGGGGGGGAGGAAAAGAAAAGAAAAAAAAAGCCTGTAGGATACTTACGACTTATTTACTCAGACGTCACATCAACAGCATCGCATCGAAAGCATCTGCAATAAATAAAGATATATCTTCGTTAAAAGTTTATTCTCGATAAAGCTTCATACATTGAGAAGTCGTCAATGTTTAAAGCAAAAAATTCACGAGACGTGATCCACGTGTTATAGAGAAGGATCTCAAGAGATCTTAAGCGAGCGATCAGACACGCTCGGCGGACGTGGTACTTTGTAAGAAAATAAATCGTAAGATCCCGACTCCAGATACCAAGACGTTTTTATGAAAGTTTCTTTACTTCAGAATCACGCCAATAATTTTCGTTACCTTCTTCTTAACTTCTCTTAGAGTACTACTTTTTCATTGGAAAGCCCAGCAAAGAGGATCATTATGATCTACGTCATATCAAGGTTGAAGCCTCGAAAGTAGCCACTTCGAGTCTTTAATCAAGGAACAATTTTCGGTATGTCTCCCCTTCCTCCTCCCCCCCCACCTCACACACTCCCCTTCCTCGCACGCCCTCACCCTCATTATATTGTATATTTTAAAAAATTCCATAGACCAACAAGAAAGTGTAATGTCCTTTCTTTCTTTCTCTCTCTCTCTCTCTCTCTCTCTCTCTCTAACATTCCATCGACGATTACGAGCTATTTTTTTTAATCTTTCAATTTATAGAATCTCGCAATATAGAAGAGAGCAACGTTACTTGCAAGTTCGGTATCGTGAAGTTAAATGAAGAATGAAAAAAAAAAAGAAAAAAAAAAAGAAAATAATAAAAAATAAAAATAAAAATTGGCATAGAAAAAAATAATGCGCATTTAAAACTCAACTCAACGCAACCATTACGATTATTTACTAAAAGTCTTAAGTAAATGTTTGACGAAGTTCCATTAAAGCAAAGCGTCTCTGGAATTCTTGGCAATACCATTTGTAGAATCTAATCGTTGCCTAGTCATCGTCTAAACGTGCAATCACCAATCTCTAACTAACTTTTACTAGGCCAGGTCGAACACATTACGTGCGACGAGGTAACTCATTTTTTTTCTTTCGTCTTCTTTTTTCTTTTCCTTCGTTTCTTTTTTTTTTTTTTTTCTTTTTTTTTATATCTTTCTTCTTGCTTTTACCTCACGGTACAGGCTACAGCATATCTCATCTTTCACGAACAAGCCACATCAAAATGTCCTTCGTTCTCTTACATACATATATACTTATATAGTTATGTATGTTCACGATCTATGTTGCTAACGTACATATGTATAGGTATGTATAGATATACCTATCGTATGTTCTGTCTTTCTGAGTCTGAGGGGCAACGTACCCGATATTATCACGCTAACGCACACCTTCCTAACGCTTTATCCCACTTCGATATTCAATTGATTTTTTACTATCAAAATGTCCATTTAATTTCTAACAAAAAGAGAACTTCTTTATCCAATACCGATTGAATCTAATTGTTAGTCAGAAAAAAAAAAAGAAAGAAAAGAAACAAAGGATCTATATAATCTGTTATCAATATTATCAAACGAATGAATAGAATGAATGAGAATGTGAACGAAAATGATTTAAAGTCGTAATGAGCATGACGAGAAGAAGGAACGTGTACGGCCGCTTTGGACTCGTTTTTTGCTTGTTCTCTGCTTAACGGTATCCAACACGGCCTCGTGGTCCAGTTCGTCGCACGTTACGGAAGAGTCGGCAATTCCAGAAATCATTCCGGGAGGTCGTATACCTTCCTGGAGTCTGGACAAGGAAGTTGAAAGTAACCTCGTCGAATACATACAAAAAAATCTCATTAATACGTTAAAATCGAATGATCGATCAATGACTTCGCACGATAAGTGTGATATCGTTTTTTCTTTTTTTTTTTTTCTATATCTATTTTGTTCATTCTTATTTGCAAATAAAATTTGTTGTTTCATTGCGAAAAAAAGAAAAAGAAAAAAAAGAAATAATATGACAAAGGTTACATTACATTTGAAAATCTTATTTTCAGATTCTTTAAAAATGTCTGATTTATCTTTACAATGTAAACAAATTTGTCGTAAAATTATATTATTATTAATTTGAGAATATTAACGAGATTATTATTTGTTAAAAGTTAACTTGTGTTTAATATTGACATTTAAAAATGTATTAAACGCATATATTATAATTTCGTTAAAATTTTATTTTCAGGTTATTTTAGGATCGATCTTTTGTAATATTTTTAAAGAATATCGTCAAAAAATTTTTGTAAAGGTGAATACACGTATCATGAATAATGATGAATAATGATCGAGCGAAGAAAATGATCGAATTCAAAATGGTTTCATATAAATAATTTTTTCTTTTTTTTTTTTTTTTTTTTTCTTTTTTTTTAAATAAAATTAACGAATTATCAAATATAGTAAGAATTACGTAATACTCTATGTAGAAAATAAAATTTCGGTAGTCAAACGTTCCCATTTATCTCTTCTTAACAAAAAGACATCGTTGTGTCCAGTGTCAAGCGTAGATATTTAAACGATTCAGGTTAGCTGACAATGCGATTATTCTTGCAAAGTCGTCGAAAAGACATCGAAGTCAGTAAATCGTCATTCATGGTGATCGTCGTACACAGTGGCTCGTTTCTCTTGCTTTCGCAAATCCACGCGTTGATCCAAACGATTAACACTTTTCATCGCTTCGAAAATGAAAAAGAAAAAGAAAAAGAAAAAAATTGTAAGAATATAATCGGTCTCTCTCTCTCTCTCTCTCTTTCTTTCTTTAACTTTCCAACTAATGATTGATCATAATCTCGACCATAATCGCATGAATTACATCACGAAATTTCTTTATAATTGCTGACTTTCAAAATGAAAATTCCAACTATGAATGAATGAAATAAGATCTCCGTTATTGTAAAATATGAAAAAGCAAAAAAAAAAAAGCAGAAAGAAGGAAAGAAAATAATAAAAAAAAAAAAAAAAAAAGAAAAACAAAAAAAAAGCAACAAAAAGAATTGATCTTATTTGAAAGATTTGAAATTTAATTTCATAATCAAGATCAAGATTTCGTCTGTAACAAAATCATTAGCAACGAAAGAAATCTCATTAATCGTCCGAAGAAACATAATAAAAATCGAAAAGAACTCCTCTTTGCGAATTGCGTTAGAAAACGAGAAGATCGCGTGAGGATCATGGGATTTATCGCAAAAAAATGAGAAAATACCGTGCTAAGTTGCAGACTGAAGACGATATCTCGGATACATGGTAGGTAAATGGAAAGTAGAAGGAGATGAAGGAGAAAAAGGAGGAAGAGGAGGAAGGGAAAGAATGTAGGAAAGTCATTTAAAAGAACTCAAGGAACGAAAAAGGAAAGCTCGAAGAGAAGGCGAGAGCTGATGTATCTAACTAGCTGGACTGAGAGAAGAGAAGAGAAGAGAAGAGAAGAGAAGAGAAGAGAAGAGAAGAGAAGAGAAGAGAAGAGAAGAGAAGAGAAGAGAAGAGAAGAGAAGAGAAGAGAAGAGAAGAGAAGAGAAGAGAATAGAAAAGAGAATAGAAAAGGAGAAGAGAAGGAAAAGGGTGAGGAAAAGGGGAAGGGAGAAGCGAATAGACCACACAAGAAGGCCAGAGAGCTTGGCTCGTGTCCTCAATATATACACACACATACACACACACATAGATATATACATATATCGAGAGATATCGATATCGCTCGGTCGTGCGAAACGATTAGCAAAGCGTAACGCACCAGAAATCGAGCGGAAGCCACGAGTATCAACGGGCTTGAGCTGATCGAGCCAAAAAAATGGCGAATAACGTTCTTAAATAAAGCTTCTCCCTTTTTCTTTCTTTTCAATTTCTCCATTCGTTTATCCATTTATCTATCTTATCTATCTTTCCATCTATCTATCTATCTATCTATCTATCTATCTATCTATCTATCTATCTATCTATCTAGTTAGCTACCGAGCTATCTATCAATCTCTATCCCTTTCTATTTTACAGAGAACGGTTTTTCGAGCTTGATGCACCGTCAGCTCGCATCTAATCCAGGAAGCGAAAGACACAGTATACGTGTACAAGGGAAACACCGATGACCGGTTGTGCAAGTTCCTTTAAGAGAGAAAAGAAGAAAAAAGAAAGAAAAAGGAAAAGAAACAGAAAGAACAAGGAAAGAGAAAAAAAAAATAAAGAAGAAAAAAAAAGAAAAAGAAAGAAAACGTCACTCTTTCGCAAATCTCCTGTCTCTTTGACCTCATTTATTAGCCCCTTATCGTTGCTTTTTTTCATTTTCATTTTTATCTTACAATGGCACGATTTGTATGGATGAATTCCCTTCGTTCGAGTATTTTATTCTGATAATAATTACTGTGTATCCCTATGGTAACCGATAAATACGTCTAAAATAAATACATCAAATTTTGATTATGTCGGAATAAATATGTTATAAATACAATAAACATAACTTTATCAAGATAATGTTTAAAACACATACATTATCAACTTTGATATTTAAAATCTAACAGCTGATATCTGATCTTACGTTACTTTAATAATATTATAAATGTTTTGTTGCTATAAAAAAAAAAAATAAAATAAAAAAATATAAAAAAAAATGAAAAAAAATAAAAAAAAAAACTTAAAAAAAAATGAAAAAAAATAAAAAAAAAATTAAAAAAAATTAAAAAAAAATTAAAAAAAATTAAAAAAAATTAAAAAAAAATTTAAAAAAATAAAAAAAAATAAAAACCAATGATTCTGACTTATATTCTTTTACCCGGTGACTAAAGGTATTATATACTTGCAATAAAATTTCCTTTTTCGATATATATACTCATTTAATGTTTTTATAAAATATAAATATTTATTTTTTTTTTTTTTATTTTTGTCCCGCCTATGATAATATACATATTTTATAGTTTGTATCATATAGACCTTGTAGTCCCAATAATCGCAAGAAGTTATCAAGTAACACGATCAAAAGAAATAAATAAGTTGACAATAGTCAAAGTGCAAGGTTAATAAACCAGATGTGCTTTTATAACATCGGCCAAAGAACAAACACTCTTATAAGTGGGTATAAACCCATGAGGCGATCGATGCTCCTAAAATAATTCCTATTGGCAACCAATGGAAGCAATTACGATCGATATCTTCGATACAACATCGTACGATATCGTTCGATCTATCGATCGTTTCGTTTTGATCGTACATTTACGACAAATAATAGTATCTATATCGGAAATCATTAAACATGATTCGAAAGATTCACGAGATGCTGTATCGCTGTTCGCGGCAAGAGTAATTAGCGGAGATCGCATTCGATGATTATGGGTATAATGACTCGTTCAGAGATACATTAGAAACGAATCATCCGACAAAATCGTTAACCGATGACTAGTGCATGAGTCTAATCTGATTCCTTTCAGTTGAATCGAAACTTGCATACGGAGCTTCGTCGATTCGATCTAAAAATAGTTAACTATCGTAATGTTCTTTTAATGATTTTTATTATTTCTTATCGCATCGCGTGGCTTCAAACTATTACCTCTTTGATTCAGTTAGTATCTATATATTTTTTTATTATAACACGTATACTTTAAATTATATAAATTCCACTTGGTATACGAAATTAACGAGCAAATTAATTTAACAAACGATTATATTAAATTAAAGATAATCAGACGGATTTAATCTTGATACAAAAAAAAAAAAAGAAAAAAAAAGAAAAAAAAAAGAAAAGAAGAAAAAAAGAAGAAACAAATAAGAAAGTGTATTCGATATTACAAATTTATAAAAATATCTTACAATTTCCAAATTGGTATAACACTTTTGAGAATCGATATGGATCACCCAACTTAATTTGCAAAGGCACAAAAGAAACTTTCGAATAGAGTCCTCGGTTCTTTCTTAAATACAAGAAGCATCTCGTTATCCTTCGCTGTCGAAACAGCTCGCTCAATCTTGAAACAAATCGTACGTTCATTCGATTCTCCATGCAATGACGACCAGTTATCCTTCGTTCTTAACATACTCGAGAAATAGCCGGAGTGCTTGCTCGATAGGTAATTTGCAAATTTGCCTCTTAACGCGGGCAACACACGTGTCTATTCGATTTACTATTGCATATTTCAAACACTTTTTCAGCCTCTCTCTCTCTCTCTCTTTCTCTCTCTCTTTCTCTCCATTTTCCTCTTTTTTATCTAATTATAATAAAAATTTATATCGTCATGTAATACTCATACAAGTATATGTATTACATACCTTTACATTTATAGTGTTACACGTATAATGAAAAATGTCGATTAATATTAATCATCGTCTCCTGACTCTGATTTTTTTTTCTTTTTTTTTTTTTGTTTTTTTTTCCTTACATAGACATTAGTACAATATGAATGGAACGTGAGGATAAATTATTCAAGAAACTCTACATTCTTATACACGGAACGAAAAGCAAGTTCCAAAGAAACCTATGCATATTCGAAATTTCAATGGCGCCTCTCTTAACATTCTTCAACATTGAATCGCCCCAACGATTGCGAAGGTTATCAAGATTACATCGAGAGATTCAATCGATATCCGTTTTCTAAAATACAACGATGGTTTCCCTTGGTGATGGTTTCCTCATTGTATACACTTGTGCATATGTGAAAAAAAAAAAGAAAAAAAAGAAAAAAAAAATATATCTTTGCTACAAATAAATGGCAAATATATTTAGAACAAAATAAACTTCCTAAGTATATGGGAGATGCATAAATAATATATTTCAAGTTGATTCAAATAATATAGAAATTATTACGTAAAAAATTAATTTTCAATTGATCATATCTAATGATCACGAAAAGGACCGTATAATAATTTAATTATATATAATTTTATTCATCTTTAAGAACGAGTATAATTT